GTTTCATGAGGCGGACTGCTGATGTAAAAACGAGATTGCAATGACGGGAGCCGATAGCCGTGAGGAGAGCAAAGCCCCGGAGGAGTCGCGGAGTCAGTGGTTTCTCCTGTCTAAATCCTTTTATGCTTTGGATGACGACTTCCGATTGGTTCGAGAGGTCCCAGTCTGAGAGGTCGGTAAAGTGGCGAGATTTGATTGGTCAGTGGGAAGAATTGCGGATGAAAGTTATTCATAGGTTATCCTTGAGTAAAGTTAGTGCTGAGCGGTGGCTACGCATTTGGGGTAACGAAACTAGTTGTTACAGTGAGAAAGAGTAGGCATGAGTCGCTAAATGCTTATGGTAAGATCATTTGATTGAAGAACTGAGGGAAGGAAATTGGTAATTTTTGAGACATCTAACCACTATAGGCAGGCTTGGGATAAAGACTTGATAGGTGAGGGTTTATGATAATAATAGACAAATGATTATGATGCCAAGTAATGGCCCAGCATGTAGGGTTTATAAAGTACTCTGTTAATGAAAGACTGAGGCGGGTATTACTAAATTTATCTGATTGACAAATAAGTCTGCAATACGGTGATCCGAGGGAGTATCGGGACTAAGAATGAAGACAGAATGAGGTCACTACATTGCGATGATAATGTTTTGTCATTAAGAAGATTAGCGTTCTGCTTAAAGTATAAATTCTGGGGAAATGAGAATCAACCGGTGCTGGCACTAGTAACTCTATAATTCCTTCCTATACGTGAACATGTTCTCACACCAATCTATAGAGTATTTTACAAAATAGTGAAGGAGGCTCGATGGTACTTAAGCTATGCCATCATACCAAATATTGAGACATATCGATATAATCTAGTCATTTTAAGGTAAGTGTGTACTCATTCTCTCTACATTGTTCCTATACTTCAGACCAAGCGAGTAGCCCAAGCTGCTTCGGTACCAGAATTCGAACAGATCTCTCTGGGAGCTGAACTTGATTATTTGCTACAGCGACACTCCAAGGAGCGTCGTGAGGCCGACCTCATAGGATGCAGTCGCCAAAGATGTTCAGCGTCATCAAAGCCTATCCATCCATTCAAACAGACTGGCCCAACTGCGAGGACTGTAATGTGCATTTCACTAGATGGTCAACAAAGCGGCCACACTACTCATTCTTCACCATCTACACACTTGACTCAGGTAGGACTAGAGGCAATAAAATAATCCAGTCGAAGAGCCTCCAACTGCTTGAATCAGCACCACTTGTCTTTATATTTATAGTTCATCCCTTTCTTCTCAATCATGTGGTCACACTACGTCAGATACTATGGAACCGCCATTTTTGCAAGGCTTCATTTTATAAACACTGCTATTCAGCATAATAAAGGATCACTCGTTTATAGATGCATAGTCGTTTTTCATTGTTAGGGCTGTACTTGACAGTTAGCCTCTCACATATCATTCTCTAGTTACGCTTTGAAGAGATGATAAATCGTGATACTATTGACAAATCAAAATGTTATTCAATCTGAACACTTGAGCTCTATTCATTAGTGTGCGTCGGACGAACCCAAGACAGATATTCCAGCATGATCTTGATCTCTTTCAATCCGGCTTTGGCATTATGGAGTGCGCTAGCCAGTGTATAGCGTGTAAAGCTTTCAATTTCGACGGGGTCCAGATAGACTGGATCTCAGAAAGCATGTAATATAAGAAGGAAACGCAAAGCAGATATTATTTTTTTAATGTAATTTCGAATAAACAAAATTAAGTGGTCATTGACACATCCAAGTCTGTTGTAGTGAAGTAAAAGAGAGATTGCAACAGTCATTGCATACTTTGAAATCAAGTGTTCTTTCTGCATAATGTTATAATGTGAAAGCTGTGCACTCGTGTACCTCAATGTTCCCATCTAGCAGGTATACTGAGGTGGAGATAAAAAGACAGTTGTCGTAGTCCGTTTCATTGATGGTCATGGGGGAAGGCAAACTTCTTGATGTTAATAGCCAGCCTACCGAAATTATAAGATACCTGATTATTGAAAGGCCACTTTGCTTTCCTGTCAAGTTAGGGTAAAAAGGAAGCAACTTATCTAGCCTCCACACACTCTAGTAACCCTTATATTATTGACAAGTAAACTCTTTTCAAGGCCATTAAAACCCAGCTGCCCTTCATCAAAAGGAGCGAGGGTTAGCTACTATTGTTTCGAGGTCAACAATTCCTCGTCGTCATGAGGCGAAAAAGTTGCGTATTCACTCTTATTAATGTGAATATTAACAGATTAATAGATCAATTTATCTGGCATAATGCATGCCAAAAAGTATGAAGGATTCATAGAATCTAAGCTTAACACTCAATCTCAAATCTCGAAGTCAGGTGTACGCTAAACGGAGACAGAATCTTTACCGTTTAATGTGACCAATGACTAGCACGCTAAGACATCGAGGCCGTAATAAACGCAGGTGTGCCACCTCATCGACATGAATACTAAGCTTCAGTAGGGGAACAAAGGAATAATCAAATTCAACCTAAGTAGGGGTGAAGAATGTCAATGCATTGAATCAACAAAGTATATATTAAAGAAGGAATAACACACAATATCACATTAGTTTATACTTTACTTTAAAAACACTAGAACTGGGAAACTTTTCGGTCAAATGATATTATTATGGGTGGCAGCTTGTGAATAAGACGATTATCACCAATAAACTTTTTTATCATTTATTCCAGTCTGAAGTAATTATATTGGTAATTAGGATACTGATAAATACCCGAGGC